TTTCTAAGTTTTAAATACCATTTGAATATAATAATAAGCATTCGTTTATAGATTTATTCCCTAGAAAATATATTAAGTGACAAAATTTTGGGAAAAATGTATTAGAATATAGTTTTAATCCCCGAAGAGGTATACAGAGGTCCATCATAGTAACACCCACTTTTCACTATTTATGTTATGAGTCCCATGTAATATGTGGTGAGTCTATTACCAATTAACAAAATTTATACCAAATGAACAAAAAAAAAAAATACGACTGCTCAGTAGGCTGCGCCACATCGCCGCGACCGCGCACGCTGCTCATGAGGAAGAACCCCTCTGTGGTTCGAAACTAGTAGAGCTTTTCTCAGTATATTCACGTGAGTAACCCGCGATTTTTAATTAATTTAGTATGTCTCACGATAGTTATTATAAAACAAAATTAATAATTCGTTGCCCGACCAGATTAAGCGGTATATTTCACCGGGACACAGTGGGAGCGCAACCAGTTGCCGCTATCAAATACTATGTATTGTCTGGTAACGTAACCATGCGGATACCAACTGAGTAACTCTATAGAGCTGTATACGTTTTGTTGGTAGCGGCTACTGGTTGGGATGCCATGGTGTCACAGTGCTTTAAACTGTCAAACACCGCGAGGACACCGGTGACCGCAACCTATTGTTCTTTAATTATGTCTATAATGACGGTACTCAGAGGGTTAAACTGTCAAACACCGCGAGGACACCGGTGACCGTAACCTATTGTTCTTTAATTATGTCTATAATGACGGTACTCAAAGGGGTAAACTGTCAAACACCGCGAGGACACCGGTGACCGCAACCTATTGTTCTTTAATTGTGTCTATAATGACGGTACTCAAAGGGTTAAACTGTCAAACACCGCGAGGACACCGGTGACCGCAACCTATTGTTCTTTAATTGTGTCTATAATGACGGTACTCAGAGGGTTAAACTGTCAAACACCGCGAGGACACCGGTGACCGCAACCTATTGTTCTTTAATTGTGTCTATAATGACGGTACTCAACGAGATAAACTGTCAAACACCGCGAGGACACCGGTGACCGCAACCTATTGTTCTTTAATTGTGTCTATAATGACGGTACTCGACGAGTTAAAAGATTGACTAAACCAACTTGGTCAGTTGTGTTTGCAACCTATCGACTATCGGAACAGTAACTTTCATTTAAGATTAACAAAATACTATTTTTCCCAAAATATTTTCCACTTTGTCATAATCGAGGTACTTGCCAATTCAATACTTTTTTCGAACTGTCAAAAACGAGAGTTTTCTATAAATTTTGTACAAGATTGTGTATTGTGACGTCACGTTTTTTAGCGTCAAACACCATAGTTATTTCGTAAAAATTTGCTGGAAATATACTAAAATTAAGTTGGTCATAAAATCAATTAATGGAAGTGTGATTATTTTTTAATATTTCATTGTATTGAACAGTCGAAATAATTTATTTTTGATTATGGCAAGTACTCAATTATACTATATTAATGCCGGAATACTGAAACATTACTCAATTTGAAGTCGTGCTCAAATATCGTGCCATCTCTGTCATTTTACAAAGAATTTGTAGAGACAGAACTATACTTAAGCACGACTTAAAATTGAGTAGCGTTTCAGTATTCCGACATAAGTCACATATTATAAAATGCTGGGTAAAAATGCGAATATATTTTATGTAGCTACAATCATATTTATTAATAATTTCTATAACTATAATTATAATAGAGAATACTATAAATATTGTCTATGATACTATAAGTATATGGAATCATAATGAGCTATATATGTATACAGGGTGTTCTGAAACTTGACTGTTTATATAGAGGTTGTTCAGAAAATAGGTACTTTATATGTCGGCGTTTGACCACTATCTCACCTGGTGGTAAGCGATGATGCGGTCGACGATGGAACACGTCTACGTATAAGCATCCTGTTTACTCGGGACTTGAAGCCACCCAAATTGGAATGATGACGGGATACGAAAATTAAAAATCTAATTAGTCCGTAAGTAAGGTAATGAAAAAATATTAGACACGTATTTTTTTATTTTGACGTATAATAAAACAATACTTAGATAAAACGAATCAAAGTTTAGGAGTGGGAGCTAAAACGTCATTTCTACGTATAAAATGTACATAGAAGTGACGTCACGCGACATTTCAAATCAATGTATCGTGGAAAGTGTTCGTTTCTGTAAGAAAATAAACAATACGTGTCTAATGACTTTTGACGTTGATGTTATGAAGTTTCATCTACCTCTGGATTGTGGCATCAAGTCAATATGAAGAGTATTTTATTTTCGTTGTTATTGACAGCGATTCAGAATACCATGTATATCATAACTACAAATATTAATATAGCGAAAAGAAACTACTTATAACATACAGACACACATTTAATCATCGAAAGGGTAGACAGAGGTGCACGTTACGGCACTTAATGCTACTGTACAATGTAACACCTACTTTTCACTATTAATGTTATGAGTCCCATGTAATAGGGGGTGAGCGTATTGCCATATACTGGGCACAATTCCAGACTCCGTGCTACTACTGACATTTTTTATTTAAAAAAAACCCAGTAATACTTTGCGCGACTCGAGAATCGAACCCGAGACCCTGCCGAGTCGCACTTGCGACCACTCGGCCAACGAGGCAGTCAGTTAAATTTTTTCCAAAAGGTTCGAAGGTTTATATTTATAACTAGCTGTGCCTGCGACTTTGTTCGCGTGGAATAGTGACTATGAGCAGCGTTTTTTTTTTTTTAATATATACTCACGACGTGATTCTTTAATTTGACATAACTTTTTTATTTATGAACCGATTGACATGAAACAAACACTAAAGCATAACTGAAGCATACCACAATATATTCGTGAAAACCGCATCCAACTCGGATCAGCCGTTTCTGAGATTAGCGTGAACAGACAAACAGACAAAAAAAAGTTAATTACATTTTTGGGTTCGACATCGACATAACAATAACCCCTGCTATTTTTTTTATTTTTATTTTCAATGTACAGACAGCACTTTTCTACAATTTTATTATATGTATAGATAGATACATGCATATTGCACCCGTACGAAGCCGGGGCGGGTCGCTAGTTTATAATATTAGTAAGACGTATGTATGTATGTTCGTCAGTAATTCCTCCGCTATATTAATATAAAATGGGTTTATAACATAATAATAATGTTTAATATATGTCGTGTAATAATAAATAATGCGATATTTGTATGTATGTGATCTGAAACAAGAGAAATTACAATTAATTAGTACACAATAAATCAGTCGATTTAAAGATCATCAAAAATATATTTGGAATTCTAGACAGAGTAGGGAATCGAACCTAGTGCAAAAATCAATTGCTTGAACACGCCCACGGCTGGGGCACGGGTTACCATAATCCCCACACTTGGTGATTTCTTTGAGGATTACAGGCTATCGTCGAATTTCGTAGAGGATACCACTGTCTGAGTCTAACATCCTAAGAGACTGTTTATTATGACCTCTACACTTGGTAATACCTTGGAGATTACAAATCACCGTCAGTTTCATAGACAACGAGTCCTCATTCCTAGTAAGAAACTATTTACCACAATCCCTACACTTGGCAATATTATCGGTGATTACAGACCATCACTGCTTATCGCTATAAGGTACAGTACAGTAGGTACGTTTACTGTTTACAATAACATCTACATTTGGCAATATCCTTGGGGATTACAGATAACCAACAGTTTAATAGAGATTACTATTATATCAGTCCTCCTCCCTCTTAAAACACGGTTAATCATAATCCCCACATTTGGCAATACCGTTGGGGATTTAAAATCACCAACAATTCCGTCCAAAACACTACTGTATAAGTAAGTAGGGTGTTCCTTGTCTATGGTCCACAGATAATGTTAGATATTAAGTATTCTATAATTTCAGTAAAGAATAAGTCTGTGGACCATGGACAAGACTTCGCTTCATTTTATATTTTTAGCTTTTATTTTATTTTATTTTATTTTTGGTTATGTTATGTGTGTTTTGCGCAGAAATAAATGGTTTTTCTTTCTTTCTTTCTTTTTCTTAAAAAAACGACAAAAAAGATATATGAAAATGTTAGAATTTGTGCATCAAATAAAACAACTAACGCCATCTATTGGCACTAGTAGATAATTTACTTAAATTATACTTATAAGGAACGACAGTTTGTATTTCCGTTTGCTAATTTCACTCTATTGATTTATTGATTTCATTCCCTCTGTATGATTGATTTGTTTCCGGAAGAAATAAACAATTAGTTCACTGTTCGCCACCATGAGGGCATGTTGAGTTTTATTTCCATTAATTATGACCTATGACCTCTACACTTGGTAATACCTTGGAAATTACAAATCACCATCAGTTTCACAGACAACGAGTTCTCCTTCCTAGTAAGAAACTATTTAGACAGATAATCTGCTAACTCGCTGTTTTTACCTTTTACTTTTATGTTATGTAAGATTTATTTTAGTACTTTATAGTGTTAATTTATTTATAATTTTAAAATGAAAAATATTGTACTGAATAGCCTGAAACACAGGTTCAACCTAGTTCAGGCAAATAAGCTACTGAGCTCTAATCAAATTGTTAAGATACTATTCATGTAAATATGTCCCTTTTTATTTAATAAACAATTTATTATTTAAATTTACCACAATCCCTACACTTGGCAATATCATTGGGGATTACAGACCACCAACATTTTCTTATAGTCTACTGTTTATAATAACCCCTTCATTTGGCAATATCCTTGGGGATTACACATAACCAACAGTATAATAGAGAATACTATTATATCAGTCCTCCTCTCTCTTAAAACACGGTTAACCATAATCCCCACACTTGGCAATACCATTGGGGATTTAAAATCAACGACAATTCCGTATAAAACACTACTGTACATGTCCAAAAAGCGACAAAAATTATATGTAAAGTTTAAACTCACTTCTAAACACTTTCAGCCGGGCTTTGGAACTCGGCGAGCGCGTGTATAGGGCTTGGCTGTTTCTTCTGGCTCCCACGGCGGACTTTGGCGCGGACCTCTTCTGGCTTCTCCGGCCGGATCAAGGGCTTCTTCTCCGGAGCCTTCATACGCCACACTACGATTGGTGACTGAAACATATTCGGAATATTTTATTAAGACTTTTTTTTTAACATTGCCCCACACTAGGATTATCTCCTGTGTCGTGTGTGCGTTTACAAACATACAAGTTCACATACACATGACACACAGACCAGAAACAACAATTTGTGGATCACACAAAGTGTTGTTCCGTGCGGGAATCGAACCAACGACACGTTACACGGCAGCCGGTTGCCCAGCCACCGCACTAACCAAGTCAAGTGCACTCCAAAATGATGTTTTTCTTATTCAAAAATACATATTAATAATATAGTATCTGGCGATAAATATTGCACATTTACAAAACGATATTTTATAACTAGTCAAATTCAATACTTTTATCGAAACGATATTGTTCTATGAATTTTGTACGAAATACCATCTTATGACGTCATCATATTTTCGCGTCAAATAGCACACTTATATATAAAAAAAATGCTAGAATAAATGGAAAATTAAGTATTTATATCGTCAAATCAATGAATGAAAGTGTAACTATTTTTCAATATTTAATTAGATTGAAAAAAAAAGGCCTTTACTAATTTGTCAGTAACTTTTAGAAATAAGAAAATTAAAATAAATATTTACACCTTAAAATACACTAAAACTAATAGAGAAAATTAAATAATTAAAAAAAAAGAAAAGGAAAGAAAACATTCAAAGAAATGGAATATAAAACCAAATTATATGGGATTGACGTAAATTTTGACACTAGTCAGTGTCATCCCCATACATTTAGTTTTATACTCTCTCTGTAGACAAGCGCTAAAGTGGCGTTTGGCTAAAGGCACTGGTGTTAAAACTTGTCGACACAAATAACAAAACAACAAATAACAAACCTCGATAAAAATAACAAATGTTAAAGTTAATGTGCAATATTTATCGGCATTTCCCATGTACAGCTACTTTTTCTAGTTTTGAATACAAACAACATGAATCAGTATGAGAATTTTAATAAAAAAAGGAATCAAAAAGACATTGATCTGCAGTCATACTAGCGACCAATGAGGTACTTAGATTACAAAAATATAATTGACTAAAACTTATATTATAACTCTCGTGGGACATACTAAATTAATGGGGATGATGACAGGGTATGAAAATTAAAAATATAATTAGTCCGTAAGTTAGGTAATGAAAAAATATTAGACACGTATTTTTTTATTTTGTCGTATAATAAAACAATACTTAGATAAAACGAATCAAAGTTTAGGAGTGGGGGCTAAAACGTCATTTCTTAGTATAAAATGTACTGAGAAGTGACGTCACGCGACATTTCAAATCAATATATCTTCGAAACTATTCGTTTCTGTGAGAAAATAAAAAATACGTGTCTAATGTTTTTAAATAATCTATCAGACGGACATTAAAATAAAAATTAGTCGTCTACCCCATTATTATGTTTCCGGCTTACTCACGTAACTGATTGACGAGGAACTCGACTAGTTTCTAGCTAGTGTTTTTTTTTAAGGGGGGAAAATCATCGAATAACATCTCTCGCTCGGGTGAGGCGAGAGGGAGAGTGAGATGGGTCTTTGAGGCGCGCGCGGAATGCTCGGCGCCGTACGCTGGGGTGCGAGCCACCCATGCTCTATGTCCTCCGGCCCGCGCTTACGGTGGCCGGAGATCGTCCCGCGATCCCCGACGCCCGGAGTGTCCTTCGCGATGGCTGAGTTATGAGGATGGTTCTGGCTAGGGTAGAGGCTCATATTCGAGACTTGGAAACTGAGTCTAAAATATGGGTCAAACTACAATGCTGCGGGTCTGAAGTGTGACACAGTGAGCGCGGTGTGTTTTTTTTTAAGTAGGGAAAATCATCGAATGCTTACTCCCGCCTGGGTGAGGCGGGAGGGAGTGTCAGACTCTTACTGACTAAAACGTTTTGCGTCGACCCGTGATTCGAATTCAACATCTACGCAGCCGTCGGCGATCGAGTCTAAAATGCCAGCGGTGTCATACGAGCCACCAGAGATGCGTGCGCGTGAATCACGACAGAGGGCGCGTTGGGACCGCACCACAGGCTAGAGTAGCCAGTAGCAGCGCGACAGTCGCCGCGTCGCAGGTCGCGAAATGCTGCTCATGAATATGAGCCTCTAGCATGGCTTGAAACTAGTCGAGTTCCTCGTCAAATTATTACGTGAGTAAACCGAAAACATAATAATTAACTTAAAACTATTAAAAAACATCTAGGAAGAACATTTTTACTAATACGAAAATACTAAAAAAACACCTAAAAAAACAATAGAAACATTTGTTTAAGAAAAAATGTGATTTCATAAATCAAGTACTTAATAGAGAACCGTGCCTTTCTATAGAGGTATTAAAACTACTTTTGAATAAGACAAAAATGGTGAATGAAACTATGATTTAAAGATCTAACATAAACGTAACATCAAGCTACAAATAGAACAAACAGTACTTAAAACCAACACATTTTTTATAGAGGTAAGTTCAACATCGTCATTAACAACAGCCTATAAGTAACCACTGCTGACCAAAGGCCTCTTCTCACACGGAGAAGGTTTGAGCATTAACCACCACGCTTGCTCAATGTGGGTTGGCGATTACAAACTTATAATTAGAAATTATAAGCCCAGGTTTCCTCACAATGTTTTCCTTCACCGTTTGTCAGTGGTGTCTAGATAATCTTAGAAGGTACATGTAACTGTGAAAAAGTCACATTGGTACTTGTCGTTGGTAGGTTTCGAGCCCGCACCCTGATGCATGAGAAGCGGGCGTCTTAAACCTCCGGGCTACTACGAGTTCAACATCAAATATAATTTAGACGCCACTTTTCAATCTAATATGGTGTGATATACTACTGGTACACCCCGAGATAACACCTTTACTATCACCCTATGTCCCGCTAAAGTAGTCAAATTGATACTGCCGTACAGACCAAGTCCTAACAATTGGGTACATATTTTTTGAGGGGGGAAACTCATCCAATGACATCTCCCGCCCGGGTGAGGCGGGAGGGAGTGTCAGACTCTTACTGACTAAAAACCACCCCGTTCCTACTCCTGTACTTCGAGTCGGTGCCCCGGTAACTCGTTAAGTTCTCCGCGGCTCCGTATCGGCATCAGCCCTGTTGGGCCCCATCCGTGGTGGTCTGGTTCTAGTCGGGCGGCGAGTCACTCATGCTCGCCGTCCGCAGGCCCGTGCAACAATTGGGTACTTGCCAACTAATCAAATTCAATTCATATTTCGAACTGTCAAAAACGACAGTTGTCTATGAATTTTTGTACGAGATTGTGTATTGTGACGTCACGTTATTTTAGCGTCAAACACCTCACTTATTTGTCAAAAAATTGCTACAAAAATATTAAAATTAAGTTGTTCATAAAATCAATTAATAAAAGTGTGATTATTTTGTAATATTTTATTGTATTGAACAGTCGAAATAATTTATTTTGATTAAGGAAAGTACCCGATTATGCACGAGTCAACACAGTTACATAATTCCAAAGCAGTTATTTACGAGTTTTCCGCAAACATACATTTAAGAAATAGCTGTTTCATGCATTACTTCATGCAATAAATAAAACATACATGGATGCAGATTATACAATTTATACAGGATTATTTGAATTATTTGCAAAAAGACATTGTAGAACATACTTTTTTAATAATAAAAGAGTAACGAATGGAATTTCTTGCTCGTTCTTCTCCATTCGAATCTACATTTTGAAATGAGCACCTAGCTTCACCTAGTTTCACTGACGGACTGACTGACAGACTATTATTTATTTTGTATTTGTTGACGTCAAAAGTACCAAATTATGGTATAATTGAAATAAATGCTTTGTCTTTGAATATTCTCGCTATACAGGATGTAAACGTATCGCCCCCGAAACACTGACAAAAAAGAAATTATTATAACAATTTAATCGTTTCTGTTTCCGCGTTATTCATGCAAGATCAGCCTTAAGCAGTCGATTACAACTATTGTTACATAAAAGAAACATTGAATTCCTTACTTTTATGAAAATAAGACTCGGTTTTTATAATAACTATCGTGAGACATACTAACTACATTTTAAGTGTGGGAGAGCTATGCTTCGGCACGAATGGGCCGGCTCGACCGGAGTGATACCACGACATCATAGAAAACCGACGTGAAGCAACGCTTGCGTTATGTTTCGTCGTGTGGCCCAATTACGTAATACGTGTCTTTTTTATTTTGTCGTAAAATAAAATGATACTTAGATATAACGAATCAAAATTTAGGAGTGGGGGCTAAAACGTCATTTCTACGTATAAAATGTAAAATAGAAGTGACGTCACGCGACATTTCAAATCAATATATCGTCAAAAGTATTCGTTTCTGGAAAAAAAATAAAAATACGTGTCTAATGTTTTAAATTTGTCATCTACCCTATTAACACGGATAGAATAATCCCAACGAGCGACTGTTGGGCAGAAAGCCCGCCAGGCTCGATCACCTCGCCTGGTCGGAGGATCCTCCTTTTCCGATCTTAGGGAACTATACTCTCTGTTCCCTAAAAATCAATCTTGAATTGTTAAATTCAAAGAAAATTAAAATAATCCTGTATAAATCAATAAAACTACGTGTATACATACAAAATTAAACTCTATTAATATAAAACATAGAATTTTATTCCACAACTCACATAATTCTGTCAGCGGATAAGCAAAAGATATTACAATTAGCATTTTTATCATACTTATATTTTATATGGTAGCGTTCTTAAATACAATTCCTTACTTTGCGCTTTTATACACAACATAACGCCTATTATCCCCGAAGGGATAGGCAGAGGCGCACATTACAGCACTTAATGCCACTGTACAATGTAACACCCACTTTTCACTATTTATGTTATGAGTCCCATGTAATAGGGGGTGAGTCTATTGCCATATACCGGACACAATTCCAGACTCCGTGCAACTACTGAATTTTTTTTTAAAACCCAGTAATACTTTGCCCGACCCGGGAATCGAACCCGAGACTCCTTGGCCGGCAGTCGCACTTGCGACCACACGGCCAATAAGGCTAATAATGTATTATTACATTATACATAATATTATTATTATCAAACAATCAATAATTTAAGACTACTCAGGAATCGAACCCGAGGCTCAAAGCTATGCAGCGCGCACTCGACACAGTCACATAAGATTACACGGTTTTCATAAAGCACATAACCAAGCTCGAAGTCTCAGTGTATATATTTTGTAAGCATATTTTTGAAACTACTGTCAGCTTAGATATCATATTTTATAGGGTTAGTTTATTATATTATATAACATGCTTCGAATATACAAGGTGTTGTTTTAAAGCCACGTCATTTTCTAGGAGGTAACTCGGCTATCGATCCTGAGTCCAAATCAATAAAAAAGTGGTAGGTAAATTTTTTAATTTTTCTGTAAATTACGCAAATCCGTAAGTGTGAACTACACGCCGCCGTCTTGTAACTAGCTTTATAACGCGGCTTAACACACACAAAATCAAAAACGTAATTATTATTATTCCTAATTCCATAAAACTCCAATAAAAAACATTACTGTCGCTTTTTCTGAAATACTGTCGAACTTAAACGATTTATTTTAGCCGCATTTTTAACTATTGACCCGAAATTTTCTCTTACATTGAACCTTTATGACTTCTGTGACATGCCCCCGAGAAATGACACGGCTTCAAAACTATACCTTGTATATTACTACAATATATATACAACTTTTCCGTCTGGCCAATGACAAGGACTAATTATAACCCGAGATCTTGTTTAGCAGTCGCACTTGCGACCACCCGACCAACGAAACCAACGCTTTATATCCTCAATAAATTTTCTTGTAATTTTGCATATGAATAGTTAGGATCGTAAAACTATATACGGTAAATCCACGCAGGTAAAGTCGCGAGTAGCTAGTATGATCATAAAAATAATATAGGTACTTACAGCAATCGTTCCCTGCCTTGTATATTTAGTGGAGGCCACGTACGACGCCTTCACAGTCAGTACGACGGCGTTCATCAAGTTCTTAGCCGCTTGGATGAGAGAAGTGGCGCTATCCAACTGGAAATATTATGAAATATATTAATTTATACATGTTTTTTTATGGGGTAAGGGCCTGGGTGAGGCGGGAGGGAGTATCAGACTCTTACTGACTAAAAACCACCCCGTTCCTTCTCCTGCACGTCGAGCCGGAGCCCCGGTAACCCGTTATTGTGCCCCATCCGTGGTGGTCTGATGGCTCTTTGAGGCGCGCGCGGAATGCGACGCGCCGTACGCTCGGGTCTGGTTCTGGGGACTTACTCTTGAATCCAATTCCGATCGATCGACTTTGGTATTGTGAAATTTCGTAGTCTTGAGTTGCAACTATAGCGCCCATTGCATCCGTATTGCGTGGATATTGAATGAACTAAATGGTATTGAGTTTGGCTTTATATTTCGTTTAACTGCTTCGATTGTGGTTGTATAGTGTTGACATTGAATAATTATTGAGATTTTATTGGATTGAAATTGCATTGACATTGAGATTGGATTCAAGAGTAAGCGTCCTGGTCGGGCGGCGAGCCACCCATGCTCGCCGCCCGCAGACCCGCGCTTACGGTGGCTGGAGATCGTAACGTAGATGTTTAAGACAGGTTCGTGTAGTTAAGTTGAAGGACAAATCACAATGAAGCGTAATGAAGTAACGTCACGCGTTAGCTCTCGAAGATGTCATGAAAAACAGATTAGGTGAAAATAATGAATTCTATATTTGATGTTCATAATTTCCTGCATGAAGAATAATAAAGGAATTTGGTGTAATAAGTCGGAGCACCTGATGGTAAGCAATCAGCGCCGCCCATGGACACCTAGAATACCAGAGGAATTACAAGTGCGTTACCGGCCTTTTGGGGATTAGGAATTTGAGGATTGTTGGGGATATCGAGATCGGGGAGAGGGATAATTGGGCCTCCGGTAACCTCACTCACACAACGAAACACAATGCAAGCGTTGTTTTACGTCAGTTTCCTTTGAGGCCGTGGTATCACTCCGGACACTCACAATGAACGCTCACAACATAAGAATAAAAATCTACCACAACCGGCACAATGAAACATGGATATAAAAATCCAAGAGGGCATACAAACCACCATATGAATATTTCACGACACAGCTCCTAGCACTTTTTTTAAGGGGGGAAAATCATCGAATGACTGCTCCCGCCCGGGTGAGGTGGGAGGGAGTGTCAGACTCTCACTGACTAAAAACCACCCCGTTCCTACTCCTGCACTTCGAACTGGAGCCCCGGTAACCTGTTAGGTTCTCCACGACTCCGTATCGGCATCAGCCCTATTGGGCCCCATCCGTGGTGGTCTGATGGCTCTTTGAGGCGCGAGCGGTACGTGACGCGCCGTACGCTCGGGTCTGGTTCTGATAGCTCGCCGCCGGAAAGTAATCGTAACGAGTACGCGTTCGGCGCTCTGATTGGTTGCTTCATTGGTGCCGGCCAATTAGAGTTTCCTTTGACGCTCACAACATAAGAATAAAATCTACCACAACCGGCACAATGATGCTTAGACATGAAAATCCAAGATAGAAGAGAAAATCCAAGAAGATACGAACCACCAAATGGATATTTCACAACACAGTTCCTAGGACTTAGGAAAGATATTTTTGACACCACAAGTGCGTAGACAAATATTTGACATCACAAAAGCAACCCAGACGCATACTATCCGTCACAGAATCGTACAGTAACCGCTCCCGTCCCTTGTCACTCACCCCTGACACTATAATACCACTGTTGTTCTGGGCTTGCACCTCGGAGTTATTCTGTAGAACAATGGGGATGATGACAGGGTATGAAAATTAAAAATCTAATTAGTCCGTAAGTTAGGTAATTAAAAAATATAGGACACGTATTCTTTTATTTTGTCGTATAATAAAACAATACTTAGATAAAACGAATCAAAGTTTAGGAGTGGGGGCTAAAACGTCATTTCTCAGTATAAAATGTACTGAGAAGTGACGTCACGCGACATTTCAAATCAATATATCTCCGAAACTATTCGTTTCTGTGAGAAAAGAAAAAATACGTGTCTAATGTTTTTAAATAATCTACCAGACGGACATTAAAATAAAAATTAGTCGTCTACCCCATTATAATATCAAACCTTTTTAGAAAAGGTTACATTGGTACTTGCATTTGGTACGTTTGTTTTATGATGTTACATAATAATTCTCCACGGACTCTTGGTCCGTGTCTTTGTCATACAATTTTTTTATTGCAATACGTCTGTGGCGACACTTGGTACATGGTATGATGACGTGCTCATTAACACGGATAGAAAATCCCAACGAATAACTGTTGGGCAGAAAGCAAGGCACGATCACCTCGCCTGGTCGGAGGATCCTCCTTTTCCGATCTTACGGAACTTTACCTTCTGTTTCCCAAAACGTCTCATCAATTTTTATAAAGTAAAGTAGGTACCTAGCTGCACACTACAATTAACCACATCTATAATTATTACTAAAAGTATAAATTACATAATAATTAGCTATTATCTATTTATATCTATTTCGACGGCTCTACGAAATCAGCCCACCAGAGATTTTTTTTAAAACCCAGTAATACTTTGATACCCTTTGCCCGGCAGTCGCACTCGCGACCATTCGGCCAACGAGGCAGTATTTATCCTTACTATTATAAATGGGAAAGTGAGTTTGTTTGTTTGTTCCGCTTTTACGCCGTAACTTCTAAATCGATTGCTTTGAATTTTTGCAGACGTAAAATTAGAAGTCCGGATTAAATACTAGGGTACTTTTTGGTAAAACAAAAGAATTGGTATAGATGCCGCTCTGTGTGTATTGGTATAGGCTACTTTTATCCTTTTCTGACGCGAGCGAAGCCGCGTGTAAAAGCTAGTAAAAAAAAAACAAATAACTCACCCCGCTAACGATAAGTTCTCCGGATATATTTTGTACATCGGCCTTCACTTTGCTTGTGATCTGTATCTGGTGGCAGTAGAGGGCGATGCGCTGCAGGTACGCCAGCAGGTCTTGCTTAGTCGAAGATTCTGGGCACTATAAGAGAAATACATCTTATACTATTATATAAAGCGGAAGAATATCCACAAATTGTTGTTCCGGGTCTGTGTGTCATGTGTATGTGAACTTGTATGTTTGTAAACGCACACACGACACGGGAGAAAATCCTAGTGTGGGGCAACGTTTATTAAAAAAAAAGAAAAGAAAAAAGAATTCGTTTTTTTGTTTGTTTGTTTGAAGGCGCTAAATTTCGTAACTACAAGTGTGATTTAAATAATTCTTTTTGTGTTATGTATATACCGGGCATAATTCTAAACTCCGTGCTACTACTGAAAATTATTTTAAACATAACATAACATCACGCCTTTTATCCTCGAAGGGGTAGACAGAGGTGCACATTATACCACTGTACAATGTAACACCCACTTTTCACTATTTATGTTATGAGTCCCATGTAATAGGGGGTGAGCCTATTGCCATATACCGGGCACAATTCCAAACTCCGTGCTACTACTGAGAATTTTTTAAAACCCAGTAATACTTTGCCCGACCCGGGAATCGAACCCGAGACCCCTTACCCGGCAGTCGCAATTGCGACCACTCGGCCAACGAGGCAGTTTCTAAATAACTATAATTTGAAAATAAAAAAATGGTCAAAGCATGCGAATCACACAATTCCAGACTCAGTGGTACATTTTTTTTTAAAGAGACCCTAATAGTACTTTGCCCGACCCGGGAATCAAACCCGAGACCCCTTACCCTTACTTATAAATTTAATTATTCTTATAAATAATAATAAAACTATACCTGCTCAGCGATCTCCCTCGTAAGTTTGTCCAGCTTGGTACCAGCTTCGGAGATCTTCTTGGCCGCGTTGATGACATCCATTGTGGTCTTGAGAGGACCGCGCCCTCTGTGGAGGGGAAGAGGAAATTGTAATACACAATATGACCCAGCCAACTAGTTTAATTAGACTGGTTAATGTCTAGTTGTTTGATTAAATGGACGGATTTTAAGTGTAAGGGAGCCATGCTTCGGCACGAATGTGTCGGCTCGACCGGAGTGATACCACCAATGAGCAGAAAACCATAGTGAAACAACCATAGCGTTGTGTTTCCGCCTCCCTTTTCCAATCTTCCCATCCCTGAATCCCCAACAATCCTAATTCCTAATCCCCAAAAGGCCGGTAACGCACTAGTAACGCCGCTAGTAGCTCCATAGGAGACGCCGAATGCTGACCATCAGGTGATCCGTCTGCTCGTTTACCGGGTTATACTTATCGTATATTTTCGCATACTCAGCGGATACATATTTGTTTTTTTAAGAGGGGAAAATCCTCGAATCGCATCTCCCGTTCTCCGCGGCTCCTTATCTATATAAACCCTGTCGCGGAGAACTTAACGGGTTACCGGGGCTCCGGCTCGACGTGCAGGAGAAGGAACGGGTGGTTTTTAGTCAGTAAGAGTCTGATACTCTCTCCCGACTCAACCAGGCGGGAGCAGTCACTCGATGATTTTCTCCCCTTAAAAAAACAATCTGTATAAACCCTTTATGCGTACGTATGTACGTAAATGTCCGCTAACGTAAAAGTTTGCGGACATTATAGGATACCCGGCGGATATTTTCGGAATACAATACATGTCGAAGTGATTTTCAGGTAATTCTCGGATATTTTCGGATACCTGTCGAATACATATCAGACGTGTTTATTGCAAATTCAGACTTAGACTCAGACTTATCTGTTGCGGAGAACCTAACGGGTTGCCGGGGCTCCGGCTCGAAGTGCAGGAGAAGGAACGGGGTGGTTTTTAGTCAGTAAGAGTCTGACACTCCCTCCCGCCTCACCCAGGCGAGAGCAGTCATTCAATGATTTTCGCGGCTTAAAAAAAGACTCAAGACTTACCTGGTGAAGTCTGTCATCTCGAGCATAATCATGCACATATGTTTAGCGAGCATGATGATATCGTTCCCGGCGTCGTCCCACTTCGCCACTTCATTGTCAAACGTCATCTTCTCGCGACGGAACAGCTCCACCTGCTGGAGGATCTTGCGTTTGTCTTCTTCCGTCATTTTCCGCATAGCTTCCTGTTTAGAGAAGAGTTTTAGGTTATTCTTATTTTTTGTTTTTTTTTTTTACATAACATAACATTACGCCTTTTATCCCCGAAGGGGTAGACATTATGCCACTGTACAAATTAACACCCACTTTTCATTACTTATGTTATGAGTCCCATGTAATAGGAGGTGAGCCTACTGCCATATACCGGGCACGATTCCAGACTCCGTGCTACTACTGTGAATTTTGTGAAAAACCCAATAATACTTTGCCTGACCCGGGAATCGAACCCGAGACCCCTTGCCTTTGCCTGCAGTCGCATTTGCGACCACTCAGCCAACGAGGCAGTCAGGCAGTCAATTACATTTTTTTCTATAGTAAGAACACTTTAACCCCCCGAGCGTCCTTATGAGCACCCGGTGGATCATAAGAAAAATGCTCCATGCTGCTTTCTCTTTTATAACATCTATTATTAATGTTTTGTTTTTATTTTGACTGTATTTTTTATTTCTATCGTAATGATCCTTGTTTTCGTGTGCCAATGGCCAAATTAATGCATTTTCTTTCTTTCTCCAAATGTCACGTGTGCACCCGTTGGATCATAAGGAACGCGGACGCTCGACGGTTTAAATTAAAAACTTATGCTACTCGATTTTACATTGTACTTAAATATCGTACCATCTCTAACATTTTACAAAGAATTTGTGGTCAGAACTATAGTTAAGCGCGACCTACAATTGGGATGATGCCAGGGTATGAAAATTAAAAATCTAATTAGTCCGTAAGTTAGGTAATGAAAAAATATTAGACACGTGCTTTTTTATTTTGTCGTATAATAAAACAATACTTAGATAAAACGAATCAAAGTTTAGGAGTGGGGGCTAAAACGTCATTTCTACGTAGAAATGTCCATAGAAGTGACGTCACGCGACATTTCAAATCTATATATCGTCGAAAGTATTCGTTTCTGTAAGAAAATAAAAAATACGTGTCTAATGATTTAAAATAATCTACCAGACGGACATTGAAATAAAAATAGGTATCTACCCTACTGAGTGGGGTTTGATTATCGACATTAAACTGTCAAACACCGCGAGGATACCGGTGACCGCAACCTATTGTTCTTTAATTGTGTCTATAATGACGGCACTTAAAGGATTTTCATTCATACTCAAATTCATTCTGTCTCCTGTAGTAATTCACCGAGGGAAGTGGAAACTATAGTTTTTTCTTCTTCTCCTCTTATAATATCTTCTGATTCACTTCGTTGCGGGAACCAAGACAGTTACTCATGTCCCTGGGACGCGCCGGACTTCAATGTTCCGGTGTCTTCATGGTTGTATCTACTGTAGATCCTGGCTTACAGGAGTTGCAGCGGTTTTGAGAGGTAGTGACGGGCTTGTCCCAATAAAAAAAAAAGGTACTCAAAGGGTTAAACTTACCCTAGCATTTGTAATTCCACTGATATCAGGATATTCGTCAACGCCATGTTCACCAGTGTGTGCGCTGGCTGTAAACATAACGATATAATTATAACAATGTAGGTAAAATGGGGTAAGCAGAGATGCAGGTTAAAAGCCAAAGCACAATTACATGCAAAGATGAGGTGAATTTTAATGGAAAAAAAAGCGTTTTCTAAGAAGCGGTAGAGAGAAAGGATGTGGAGATTTTAAAACAACATAACATCATGCCCTTTATCTCCGAAGGGGTAGGCAGAGGTGCTCATTACGGCATTTAATGCCACTATACAATGTAACACGCACGTAAGTTATCAATCAAGTAAGACAAGAATTCTATCTCAGTTTTACTACAATAAAAGTTAAGGTATTTGGATTTGTTATAGAGAAAAAAAAGAGTGATAGGAGGGGTATAACAGAGAGGGGGAGGGGGATGAAGAAGAAAATGGGGATAGGTGGGAGGGGAAGAGAGGGTAGGAAAGAGTAAATAAGGTCCTTTTTATTCTTTTCTCTAGAGGTATCACTACATAGTATAAAACAAAGTCCCTATCCGCCGTCTGTCTGTCCCTATGTATGCTTAGATCTTTAAAACTACGCAACGGATTTTGATGCGGATTTTTTTAATAGATAGAGTTTTTCTTAAGGATGGTTTATATACAGTATATGTGCATATAGGTATATATACATGCATATTGCACCCGTGCAAAGCCGGGGCGGGTAGCTAGTAATAAATAAGAGGGAGGTTAGGGGGGAGGGGGTTAGGTGGAAAAGGGGAGAGATAGAAAGAGAGAGAGAGGGAAAAAATTATTCACAAAATATTCCAAAACCAATTATTTTATAGACATTACATTAACATTTTATACTGTGTGAAAACAGATTCCTCATACAACCAAAAACCACCTCTACGGTAAAAGACATAAGGTTCAGTATCCCACCACCTTCTACCAGTGAGGCCTACTCACATCGGCTCCTGGTCTCCATAGTCATGTCTTCAACGGGTTCGAATTCCGTGTCGGTGTCTAAATCCTCGCTGGTCTGGCGTTAGTCACGACACGATACATGCGAACAACATATAGGGCATGCGATGTAGGAAGGATTTTTCGAAAATTTTAAATTCAAATCCAGAATGATAACATAACATCACGCCTTTTATCCCTTATTTATGTTATGAGTCCCAACTAATAGGGGGTGAGCCTATTGCCATATACCGGGCACATTTCCAGACTCCGTGCTACAACTGAGATTTTTTTTAAATACCCAGTAATACTTTGCCCGACCCGGGAATCGAACCCGAGACCCCTTGCCCGGTAGTCGCACTTGCGACCACTCGGCCAACGAGGCAGTCTTCAGCATCACTCCAGAATGATGACCCCATAAAATACTAAAAGTTCAAAAAATCAGAACTTTCACTAATGAGAAAAACGAATCTCAATAATATTTTGATTGAATCAGGAATCGAACCCGAGTCTTGTTTCGTAGTAATGCTCGAGTAACGAGACAGTCGTAACTGCTAAATAAGAACTTTCGAAAAAGTTGCACTGTATGAAGCACCTATATTACTACATCTATTATAATACCTATAATCTTTATATATATAATTCTTCTGTGAGTGTGTATGTCACTAAACTTCTCTCAAACGACTGGACCGATTTTGATGAAATTTTTTATGTGTGTTCAAGGGGATCTGGGAATGGTTTAGATTCACAAATCAGCCCGGCAGATGGCGCTGCAGTCGATGTTTAGGTTAGTTATCCTAAACGGCTGAACTAATTTGAATGAATTTTTGTTTACAATTTTTAGAATATAAAATCCTTCCTACATGTTTAAACACATAAATGAATTGATGAGCCACGAACACAAAGACAAACACATAAATAATATAAAAAAGAGATGCTATGGAGGCATGTCATGCATAATAAACAAGGCTCCGACTCGGCGTATTTTACTTTAAAAATTCAAGCCCGCCCTTGACCGGAGTGATACCACGGCCGAGCGTGAAACAACGCTCGCGTTGTCATTCTCTACCCGACCTCTTTTCTAATCACCAAAAGGCCGGTAACGCACTTGTAACGCCTCTGGTGTTCCAGGTGTCCATGGGCGACGCCGATTGCTTACCATCAGGTGATCCGTCTGCTCGTTTACCGGCTTATACCAGTAGCATAAAATTGACATTTGACCAGTCTTGACACAATTGACAAGTATTAAAAATTATTGCTTTGTTAACCCGTTGAAATTCATCCCCTAAATTTGTTCATACAAAAGTAGTCTCTAAGCATTGGAAATAAGGTCTATAATGTAGTTAGTGGAGAGCGGTCACCGGTGACCGCTTGGGGATCTATGGGAATGAATCTGCCATTCGAAAAATCAGGGCTCTTAGGGCTCGTACAAAAAATTTCAAAAATGTGCGAGCTCCCTCTACACATCGCAAGAACTTGCGAATTGATTCGCATCGCGCATCAAAATCTTATCTTCCCAAAATCTTCTTTGTTTCTTTTTCTTGTATCTCTTAAGCAATAACAGAAGTGCACACTTCGTTTTACGATCCATGTCACGACCTAGTTTTCAATTTAGTACAGTTGACGGTCGTCGAAGGAATGGTCACACTGGGTCGCCTTGTCGCACGAAATCGCATCGCAGAAATTCGCATCGTATTTCTTTGCGTCGCGAATTCGCATCGCAGTTTTGTGTACGAGCCCTTCGTTTAAATTATTATTTTATCAAATACAGCTGCATCCATAACATCTCTTAATACTAATTAACAACAAATAAACAAAAAACAAAAATGACAAACAACAATCAATGAGTAATGACACGGAGTTAGCTACCACACACTTACGCCGGAATACTGAAACATTACTCAATTTTAAGTCGTGCTCACATATCGTGCCATCTCTGTCATTTTATAAAGGATTTGTGGAGACAGAACTATACTTAAGCGCGACTTAAAATTGAGTACCGTTTGAATATTCCGACAACTGACACATACGAGTAACACATGACGTGACATATAGCAACATAAAGCCACCAATATAATATTTAATGGTAATTTATAGGACGTTTATTTTCATATGGTCCGATAGTCTTAAGTTTATATTTCGATGGCATACATATATAAGTTCACGACTGTGAAGCAGAGATTATGGAACGCCAATTGCTACGATTACTATATACCTCATTCGCTTCGGTTCCACGTTATTACTAGGGTTGCCAACTTGCCACCTTTTATTTTGGTATTTAAAGTACATTGACGATTATAGGTAAGAAAAAAAAGTACACTGTATAAAAATAAAGTACAATTTATTCTTATTTAGTATTACTTTATATTTAAAAATATATTTTATTGCTTTTTGCAGTTTGTATAAAATTAGTATCTTTACTAAAAAATTGCATTGGAATACTAAACAATTGCATCTTTACTAGAAATTGTCTAAGTGGCGCTGGTGAGTGGCGAAATCGATTCAACATAAGTCGATAAATATCGATATTGAAGTTTGCAAAAGTAAAGTATTTGCGTACGAGAATTAAATAGACATTGTGCAATGTCTGATTAAGAATCCCCTGTGTGTGCGACTTGAAACCAGTTGAGACTATTTCTTTCTATTAAGTTCTATGTTTGAATTAAACCAAAAGATTGAGTAAGCGGTTTTTTATAATTAATTACGAATCTCTTCCTTACATCAATTTGAGTAAATTATAATTAAACCATATAGGAACAAACTTGAGAAAAGTGCCATCTAGCGGATGAACTACAGAAAAATAAGACTATCGGACCACATAAAACCCCAACGCCCTCTATAACAAATGTTACTCTCACATTTGCTACGTGTCTCCAAGGTGTAATGCTCATCTAATTCCACATCTTCAGGGTCCAGCTCCTCCTCATCCTGATCAGGTGGAAAACCAGGTCAATATATGTGTGTATAAGTACATTTTTTATCCTAGGACAAATACATTCCTCTTGTCTGTGTTGTAGGATTATTCTACACCAACTTAACTTTGCCAAATATTGCTAAATTAAAATATTCATATTTGTATTCTGTTAATAGTGTACGACCCAGTCAGTTGATAACTAAACACTGAAGGGTGTGGACGCGTTGCTCTCATAATGCTAGAATAAAATATCTATTAGTAAATTCACAAACGATACTTTTTAAATATTTCTTTTTCAACCACTGTATCGTTAGACTCCTTGATTATACTTCAGTAGTTTAGGGTGCTTACTCTTGGATCCAATTTCGATCGATCGACATTGGTATTGTGAAATTTCGTACTCTCGAGATGCAACACTAGCGTCCATTACGTCCGTATTGCGTGGATATTGAATGAACTAATTGGTATTGAGTTTGACTAATTATATTCCGTACTCTGAATGCTATTGTAACAGCTACGATTGTGGTTGTATAGTTTTGATATTGAATAATTATTGAGATTTTATTGGATTGAAATTGCATTGACATTGAGATTGGTTTCAAGAGTAAGTACCCATGTCCTTTCCTAGACATATCAATAAAGATATTTCCATTTTAGACTTATAATAAAAAACACTATATATTTAAACCCCCTTATAATTAAAGTACTCACCCTGTTCATTAGCACAGCCCTCCTAATCTCCCTGACAGCATCATAGACCAAACGGCTGGCGTCTATGAAGTCGTTTTCGTCCAAAGCCGCGCCGGTGCCGCCGCCAAGCGCGGAGACTGCTGCGTCGACGCGCACGCCGAATTTCGACATCACTGTGGAAGATAGTAAAGAAGATCGTGAATAGATTTGTTTTTTTTTCGCCATTTATTACGGGAAAAGAGCAAGTCGAATAGAATATAGAATAATTTATTTGTAATAACATAACATCACGCCTTTTATCCCCGAAGGGGTAGGCAGAGATGCATATTATGCCACTGTACAATGTAGCATCCACTTTTCACTATTCACGTTATGAGTCCCATGTAATAGGGGGTGAGCCTATTGCCATATACCGGGCACATTTCCAGACTCCGTGCTTCTACTGAGATTTTTAAAAACCCAGTAATACTTTGCCCGACCTGAGAATCGAAACCGAGACCCCTTGCCTGGCAGTCGCACTTGCGACCACTCGGCCAACGAGTCAGTATAGATTTATTACCATGTGAAATGTTATTTAGTAAACATAGCGTGACGTATCACAGACCTTGGGTCTATGGTCATCATTGAGAATATAATGAATTAGTTGTAACCTTAGACATGTTAATTCTATTTATTCATGTTAAGTTTAAAAACGTCGCCGATTAAGTTGTGTTAAGAGCGACATTTCGAACACAAAGGAGTCGCGGAGAACCTAACGGGTAACCGGGGCTCCGGCTCGAAGTGCAGGAGAAGGAACGGGGTGGTTTTTAGTCAGTAAGAGTCTGACACTCCCTGCCGCCTCACCCGGGCAGGAAGCCGTCATTCGATGATTCCCCCCCTTAAAAAAAGACAGTGACAGGTATGTATACCACAGACAGAAGAATATATGATTTGGGAAAAACCCATTTTTTATATTTGATGGGCCGACGTTTGAGCACTATCTCGCCTGGTGGTAAGCGATGATGCGGTCTACAATGGAGCACGTCGTCCCATAAACAACCTAGTCACTCGGGCTTTGAAGACACCCAGGTTATACCCTTCAGGAAATACAGATAGGCAAAGAATTCCACTCCTTAGCAGTACGCCACAAGGAAGCTTGATGTGAAGCGCTTTGTGAGTGTGGAACACATTATTGCCACACGCTAGCCTCGATTTTAAATACTAACGCGATAAAAAAACTAATAAAATTCCTAGAATTTCTTTTTGACATTTAAAATACTAAACATCTTTTCCTCAATTAACTAAAAATCGCGGGTTACTCACGTGAATATACTGAGAAAAGCTCTACTAGTTTCGAACCACAGAGGGGGTCTTGATTCACAGTAGGCTGCGCGACATTGCCGCGACCGCTACACATGATAATTTAGTATCTTTTCCTCAATCGATTTCAACTGAAGACCTCATACTTAGCTGTCATGCTTACAACCTTTCAACGTCTGAGACGAGACAGTTTGTCAACAGAATTATAAAAACAACGAATTACAAAGATTGATGTTAAAACGTGTTTAAAGGCAATAAATAAATAAAATTATACATCCTAATCTTTATTTTATACTGTTATATAAAGCGGAAAAGTTTGTTTTTTTGTTTGTTTGTTTGTTTGAACGCGCTAATCTCCGTAACTTAATAGTTAGTTTAGTAGGATAGTTTAAATCTCAAATTATAGTCGCCATTTTAATTTATTGCTAATTATATGTCTGTTATTATTTGACAGTCACAATTATCTGTTAACTCCAAATGATTCTAACAGATGTCGATACCGTTCGACTGGGTTGAGTAAGTAATAGATGGCGCTGCTATGGGTTTTTTTTTTATAGGAGGAGTGATTCTTAAGGAAGGTTTATATGTATAATGCATGCATATTGCACCCGTGCGGAGCCGGGGCGGGTCGCTAGTACTATTATATGAAGCAGAAGAGTTTGTTTTTTTGTTTGTTTGTTTGAACGCGCAAATCTCCGTAACTACAAGTCTGATTTGAATAATTCTTTTTGTGTTGGATATCGCATTTATCAAGGATGGCTATAGGCTATAAAACATCACGCTACGACCAATAGGAGCTGAGTGGTGTGTGAAACTGCGCGGAAGTAGCTAGTAAATAGTATAAAGAGAGAAATGTTTGTATGTTTGTTTGTATAGTGTAGGCAGAGGTGTACAATAGCACACTGAAAATAAGTGCTGGGTGACTCGTATGCCTAGCTTACAATGAGTGGGTAACCCATTTAGCATAGCCATGTTGTAAACGTCTCTTCTCAGATTCTTCTGTTTTAAACTGTCAAACACCAAGCGGTCACCGGTGACCGCGACCTATTGTTCTTTAGTTGTGTCTATAAAACCGGTACTCGACGAGTTAATTTATAATACGAACACAATAAAATCGACTAACAGACTTGTCACCATTTCAGATTATATGTTTATATGTTTTCAACAAAAATTTGAGGATACATACATACATACACACGCGCGCACACACACAGACACACCTACACGCACACACACTTATGTATAGTAGTTATATTTATTTTAGTGTATATATTTATTTGGTACGTATAGGTAGTATTATAATGTATGTATTGCTTTGATTATTATTGTACACTAGACGACCCCCTTTTGTCCAACTGCTGATTACTGGCTCCATCCAAAGGTTGTCTGGAAGAAATCGCATTCTGCGATAAGACCGCCCATTGTGTACATTCTCTTTATGTTTATTTTTCTATGTATGTTTTTATGGTGTACTATACAGTGTGTAAATAAATAAATAAATAAAATAATCATTCTAGAAAACATTAAGGTAAAATAAATTGGTAAACCATTTACTAAAATGCATATAAAAGCGAGCATCACCACGTCAAACGCCTAGTATAAAACACACAACCTATACACGACCTTGAATTAGGAATGTCACCCGTGGGTCAGGGTTCGATTACGCAACACGAAACATGTACAAACATCGGATGGACCACGCCTAATTAGTATACGTGTTAACTTACAATAAATAATTCAATGTGTTAGATCTTCGACGTATGGAACATTTCTGCTTACTACCCTTTGTTATACTCGTATTAGTAGCAATAAGCTTACAGTTGGCGTGATGGTAAACGGTCCTGAAACCTCTTGAGGGGGGATAATCAGAAAAAACGTCAGTAGTAACGGTATATGGCAATAGGCTCACCACCTATTACATGGGACTCATAACATAAATAGTGAAAAGTGAGTGTTACATTGTACAGTGGCATTAAGTGCCGTAATGTACACTTCTGTCTACTGATAAATGTGTTTATGTCTTCCAATTGTATTGTATATATCTAAGGGTCGCGGAGAACCTAACGGGTAACCGGGGCTCCGGCTCGAAGTGCAGGAGAAGGAACGGGGTGGTTTTTAGTCTGTAAGAGTCTGACACTCCCTCCAACCTCACCCGGGCGGGAGAAGTCATTCGATGATTATCTCCACTTAAAAAAAATGGCAGGCAGGTTGGAGATCGCAGTATAAAAGGTTCAGGTTTATCAGAGAGCGCTGCTACACGGTCTATGTTATGTAGTCGCCTATATTTTCTTATGACTAATTTAACCCTATTAGTACCGTCATTATAGACACAATTAAAGAACAATAGGTTGCGGTCACCGGTGTCCTCGCGGTGTTTGACGGTTTAAATAATGTAATAATAATAAATTGTTGTCTACATGCTGGATAGTTGTCTACATGCTGGATAGACTATAAAAAAGCATATGATTCTGTGCCACATACATGGCTCCTGAAGGTGCTGGAGTTGTATAAAATACATGCAAGTTTACGCGCCTTCTTGGAGTCATGTATGAGGCAGTGGAGCACCGTGCTTTGCTATCCGGGATGTAGACAAATCCAAGGGAATGAAGAACCTGTAAGGATAGTACGAGGAATATTCCAGGGTGACAGCCTGAGCCCACTATGGTTCTGCTTGGCCTTGAATCCTCTAAGTACTCTACTGGAGGATTCAGGGCTAGGCTATCCTTTGCGGAGAAGGGGTCTAGTTATATCCCACTTACTTTACATGGATGACCTCAAGTTGTTTGCTCCAAACAAGAAACAACTGATGGAACTACTGAATATAACTGAAAAATTTAGTAGTTCCATCAGAATGGAGTTTGGAGTAGACAAGTGTGCGGTCATGCATGTAAAGCGAGGAGGGATTGTGGAATCTGAGGGACTAGAACTCTCAGATTTCACAAAACTGAGATCACTCTCCGCAAACGATACATACAAGTACCTGGGTATGTCAGAAGGATTAGGCATTAATGGACCGGACATGAAGCAATCGTTACAGGAGCGCTTCTTTGGCCGCCTGAATAAGGTACTGAAAAGTTCCTTATCAGGCGGAAACAAGGTGCGAGCCTTTAATGGTTGGGTCATGCCAGTCCTAATGTATTCTTTTGGTATACTCAAGTGGACACAGACTGAACTTGACACCCTGGATAGACGAGTCCGGACCCTGCTGACTGCAAATCGCATGCATCACCCTCGTTCGTCGGTCATGAGGTTGTACATCCCACGGAAGTGTGGTGGTCGAGGCTTATTAAATGCTAAGACCCTTCACAACCGTGAGGTGTGCAGCCTCAGGGAATATTTCCTGAAAGTCAACGAGGGTATGCATCGAGAAGTAGCAGCGGTGGACAATGGATTCACTCCGCTATCCTTGGCAAAAGAGAACTGGCGCAAACCTGTGGTACTGAGCGTCAATGATCGCAAGGAGGTATGGCATAGCAAGGAGCTCCACGGACGCTTCTTCCGGGCCCTTCATGGGACCAATGTAGATTTTCTAGCGTCCGTGTCTTGGCTACGATTCAGTAATCTCTTTGGAGAAACTGAAGGATTTGTCTGTGCAATTATGGACGAAGTTATCCTTACGAATAACTACCGGAAATATATAATTAAGGATGGGACGGTTGACATATGTCGGGCATGTCATAGTCCTGGTGAATCCATTAGACATATTATTTCTGGTTGTGGTCGTTTGGCTAACAGTGAATATTTGCATAGGCATAATCAAGTAGCCAAGATTATCCATCAGCAACTTGCTTTGCACTATCGACTTGTTGAGTCTGAGGTACCGTACTACAAGTATGTGCCCGACCCAGTTCTGGAAAATGACCATATCACGTTG